CTGGAAGGGCCCCTGACTGTTTCCTGCCCGGTTTTTTTTCTTTTTCTTTTCTTTTTCTTTTTTTTTTTTTTGGAGGTTTTTGCTACAGGGTGCGTGCGCTCGCCAGACAGAGAGACAGAAAGCGAGAAATCACCCCTCAGGGGGGATGGTCACACCGCAATCCCTTCTCCTCCATTCTCCTCTCGGGATCTTGGGCACGCACGCACATGCGCCTGGCGTGAGTTTTAAGCCACTGGGTCCAGGACGCAAACCGTGGTTGAGTACGTGGGAGTCCAGCGACATAGCCATTACGCTAACTGCTGGTTCCCCCAGCCCTGTTTCAATAGGGTTTCTCCCCTCATAGGAAGCAGCTATTCAGTCTCTGTCAACATAGGGGCCTGTGTCCGGGTTAAGGCCTCTCCTCTCCTTGCTGTGACAGTCCTCTCTCAGGCTCATTTCAGTCACTGCGACAGTGCTCATCTGTCTCTTTTCCTCCCTCCCTAGAGCTGCAATGCCCTTCTAGTTCTCCCTGCAGGATTTCCTGCTCCTGGAGTTCCTTCACCCCAGGCCATGTTCTCCTTCAAGTTGTTAAATGAAAGGCAGGTGATCCTTCCAGCCCGAAGCTCAGTGCTGCTCATCTGCTGCAATATTTCATAAGGTACAAGTGGGAACCTGGTTTGGCCTTTCTCAAGTGGACAGTCAGTCATCCCAGCTCCACTTGTGAAGGTGTCCATAAATGCTCCTGGGTGGGTGCACCACCTCTGCCCATTACCAAGCTCCCCTGTGAGGAGGTGGTTCCCACTTCCCATACCACACCTCACTTTTGGGTGCTTTATCTAACCCAGAGCATAGTCAAGAGTAGATTGAGCACAATGGAGGGAACCTCCTCAGCACTCAGTCACCTTCTCACAGTCTGGAGCAGACTCACCTGCCATAGGAAGTGCAAAGAGGTGGGCGACATCCCCAGCACACCAGGGGCTTTGACACCAGAGGAGCTGAGACCTTTCTGGAACAGGAGGAAGGAAAACCCAGGCTCCAATGAGCTCCTATGGTGTCTTTTTTGTTCACCTGTGTCCACAGGGAGATGGTGGGAGACAGCAAGTCCAACCACGCCAACACCCAGGACAGTAGCACCTTGGCCCTCCCTAATATTCAAAGTCAAGTGGGCCGAGAGCCTTCTCCTTGTCCTGAGAGGAAGCAAGAATGGTATCTTCTTTTGTTTTTTAAAGAATTTCTTTATTTTGGAATCAGCAGTTAACATAATGGTTATGTCGCTGGACTCCCATGTAGTCGACCACAGTTCAAGTCCCAAACCCAGTAGCTTAAGCTCATGCTGAGCAAGTGTGCATGCATGTCCAAGATCCTGAGAAGAGAAGGGATAGCAGCATGGCCATCCCCCCAGGGTTGATTTCTCACTTCCTGTCTGTCTGTCTCTCTGGTGAGCACACACACCCTATAGCAAAAACCTCTCCAAAAACAACTTTTTAAAATTTGTTGTTATTATTATTTAATTTAACCAGAAAGAGAACGGGAACG